CCCCACGGCAGGTCAACACTCTCCCTTCTCAACCTTGGAGGACCTTTTTTTTTGTTTTTTGGTGAAAATATACATAGCGAAACATACACCATTTCAAAAATTTCTACATGTGCAATTCAGTGACATCAATTACCTTCTTCCAGTTGTGCTGCTATTCTCACTATCCTTTTCCATATTATTCCATCACCATTATCTTCCACTCATTGTCCTATGGGATTTTGATTTTTGAAGATCATTTTTGCATGTGCTTTAGGTTAAAAAAGAGGTCCCTGAGTGGCACAAATGGTTTGTGTTCAACTACTTTTCGAAAGGTTGGGGGTTCAAGCCCACCGAGTGGTGCCGCAGAAGACAGGCCTGGCAATCTGCTTCCATAAACATTACAGACAAGAAAACCCTATGGAGCAGTTCTACTCTGTGACACATGAGGTTGCCATAAGTCAGACTCTGCTCAGTGGCAAGAAGTTTGGGTTAAGACACCTGAGATGGGGCATCAGTGCCATATCTGGACAGAGAGGATGTGATGATACATAATTCAAGAGATTGTGAGGAGTAAACGGAATTATGTCTATGAAAGCATTTAGTACACTGTAAAGCACTGGAAACAAGTTATTAGTATTATTACAACTGTGGGGAGTAGAAAACACCCTGGACTAGGGAAAGGGATTCTAGGCCCTTGGCCTCCCTGACCATTTGACTTCCCAGCCATAACACTGTAAGAATGGCCAGGACAGTCTTCAGGTATATCAGATCCTGAAATATTAAACAGACCTCTCCCCCCAGGGACAGAGAAGGAGGAGGTCATAGTTCAAGGTTGTGGTACAGGTTGGGAGACCTTTCCAAATGTAAACGTTGTCACAAAGTATCCCTTCATTCACTGTGAACCAGGCACTGTACCGGGCAATAATGGGAGAGTGAAACTACTGTAAGACGCTGCTTCTACCATCAAGGAGTTCACAGTCTACTGCCCTCAGTATCAGTGCTGTGATGGAGCTGGCTGCAATGGCTTTGGGACTGTATACACTCCCTACAAGATGAGCCAGTAACGCTGCCAGGGGAAGGCTTCCTGGAGCTCCACCTGATGTGGAGCTGGTACATGAAAATTGAATGGGATTTTCAATACATCAGTATTTTGTGGGACAGAGAAATTAGGGGACATTCGCATCCCTGGGTGGTGCAAATAGTTAATGAGCTCAGCCCCTACGGAAAGGCTGGAGGTTTGCGTTCACCCAGAGGACCTAGGAAGAAAGGCCTAGTGATCTACTTCCAGAAAAATTAGCTACTCAAAACCCTAGGGAGCACAGTTCTACTCTGACACACATGGGGGTCACCATGAGTCTGGCTCACTGGACAGCAACTGGTTTAGCTTTTTGTTTTTTTCAATTTAGGAAATATTTATTAAGCAAGTGCCTGATTCCAGGGGCTGTGGTAGATGTCAGGGGTGAGGAGATGGAGGAAGAAAGTACGAAATCAACATAAGACAGTGTAGGGTCCCAGCTCAGGAAGATCTCCCTTCTAGTCAGGGAGGTAAATCTGCATACAATTAAAGGAAGCACAAAGTAAAGTACGCGATGTCAATGATTAGGGGTTAGAGTAACGGAAATAGAGATTTTGGACTCTGTCTCCACTTTTAGGGTAGCATTGATTCCGAACGAAGGTCCACAGGGGGCTTGCTGGCGGGTCCCGGCCCGCGAGCCGGCAGCCAGTGGTCGTCCCCTTGGCAGGCAGGTGAGGGCCTCGCACCTGCTTATGTAATAGGCGGCGCCTGGCAGGTAACTGGGGGAACTGGAAGGAGGAGCCGGGCCGGGGCTGACGGCCGCTCCCGGAATCCGCGCTCCGGGCGTTGGCTCGCTGCGCCCCGACCCCCGGGCCTGCCCTCCCGAGGCCGGGACACGTGCCGCAGCCCGCGGTCAGCTGGCAACTCTCCGTGCTTCCAGTCACTGCGCGGGTTCGGGAGCCGAACCCTGCGGCCGTAACCTTCTCAGCCCGCCCTCCCAGCCCCGCCCGTCTGGAGTGAGGCGGCGAGGAAGGAACTCACAGTGGGCTCGGACTCCGGCGCAAATCCTGGGTCTTGCCCTCCGTAGGTCATCTCGTCGTCCTGTTGGCTTTGTGCTTCCTAGCTCCTCGCCCCTTTTACTTCTTCAGGGCCATCCTGGAAACAGGGGTAGTCCTTTGCTGAGTCTAAACTTTGATCCCTCTGATGGCAACACTGTAAACGATCAGGATTTTTGTTGCGCGTGGTGATGGTGGTGGTGAGGGTTCGAGAGGAGGGTGCACCTGATTTTGGGATTAACTTTGGGTTCCGAGTGCGAGGAACCAGACGAGGCGGGAAGATTTGTCTTGGAAAGGGAATCACTACATCCACTCCCTCTCCAGGCTACCACCAATCACTGGTGATAATCAAAACATTTTAGCACCTCTGGTAGGCTGTCTGGCTACTGAGTAAAATTCGCTCTTAAATGTTTGTACTGAGAGGATGTCTTTTTTAAAAAATATGTGTTTAACTTTTATTATGAAAATTTCAAACACACATGGCGATAACAGTATGAACTCTTTTGTGCCCATGACCCACTTCAACAATTATAAACTCATGACTAATTTCGTTTCATCCATTACCTCTCACTCCCACCCTTCCCTACTGGGCTATTATTATTATTATTATTTTTTTATTGTACTTCAGGTGAAGGCTTACAGAACAAATAGTTTCTCATGAAAAAGTAGTACACATATTGTTTATGACATTGGTTAACAACCCCACAACATGTCAACCCTCTAACTTCTCAACCTTTTTTTTTTTTTTTTGGTGAAAATACACATAGCCAAAGATACACCGTTTCAAAAATTTCTACATGCACAGTTCAGTGACATTGACTACGCTCTTCCAATTGTGCAGTTATTCTCACTTAAGATGAAGACTTACAGAACAAAATAGTTTCTCATTTAACAGTTATTACAAATGTTGCCCTATGACAATGGTTAACAATCTCACAACACATCAACAATATCCTTACTCAACCTTGGGTTCCCTATCACCAGCTTCCTTGTCCCCTTCTGCCTTCTGGCCCTTGTCACTGGACTCCTGTACCTCGTTAGTCTCATTTGGTTTTACGGGGCTGTCCACTCCCAGGCTGAACGGTGAACCTCGGAGATAACTTCACCACTGAGCTAAAAGCGTGTCTGGGTGCCCTACTCTTGGTGTTTCTCCAGTCTCCTTTAGGCCAGTAAATCTGGTCTTTTTTTTGTGAGATAGAATTTTGCTCTACATCCTTCTCCAGCTCTGTCCAGAACCCTCTGTTGTGATCCTGGTCAGAGCAGTCAGTGGTGGTAGCCGGGCACCATCTAGCTGTACTGGACTCAGTCCGGTGGAGGCCTTGGTAGCTGCGGACAATTAGTCCTTCGGACTAATCTTTTCCTTGTATCCTGTTCTTTTCATTCTCCCTTGCTCCTGAAGGGATGAGACCACCCACTGGATTATTTTTAAGCAAATCCCAAACATATCATTTCATCAGTAAAAATTTTAGTATTATAAAGGATTCTTAAAAACAAAACAAACAAAAAAAAGTACAACTATCATACCTTAAAAATACCTGAGTCTTTAGTATAATTAAATAATGTTCAAATTTCTCTCATACTTAAAAAATTAAATTATAATTAATTTTTTCAAACCAGGACCCAAATAAATTCACCACTGCATTTAGTTCATGTCTTTTAAGTCTCTTTTAATTTGTGTATTTTCTCCCCTCCTTTTTCTGGCAATTTATTTGAAGGGAAACACGTCAAATATGAAAAAAAAAAAAAAAATCCATCAGTTAATTGTGATAACCAAAAATAAACTCATTCGTTATTTTGGAGGCTACTAGGGAACCCACTCACCTTTCTGAAATAGTCTGTCTAAATAAAGAGAAAGACTCAAACATTTTTTCTACATTTTTGTACAAACATCTCAGGATAGCTAAATGGTTGAGGCACAGTTCTCTATTATTATTACAAATATGATTACTTAAAATTTATTAGGAATTATTTTTGTTATTAGTATATCTCCCACTAAGGATGTACAAATTACTGTGTTTTAAAGTCACTTCTCTTTGGATAGTTAAGCTACCAACTATATACAGCTACGTTAATTTTGTCTCATTTTAATTTTGTTTTATAATGATGTAAAACGTTTACATGGTTCCAAAGTCAAATATAAAACAAAGTACATTCAGAGAAGAATAACTTCCATCTCTTCCACCCGGTTCTCCCCTTCCTCCCACAAGTAACTTTTTATTAGTTTTTCGTTTATCATTCCACTTAAAAAAATAAATATAAGCAAACAATATGTATATGCACTGTTCTCCACCTTGCTTTTTTCCTTTAACGATATATCCTGGGAATTATCCTATAATAGTATATAGAAACATTCCTCATTGCTTTTCATAGCTTGTATGATGCTACCAAACAGATACAAAGTGCGATGCTAGTGAGCCTGGCTGAGTCGCCTGGAGAGACGAAGTCCAGCATCACTGTCTCCAGACGTTGGGTAGGCATGAGGTCCATGGGCTGGGGCCGCGTCCAGGGCCACGGGGACTGTGGGAAATGAGGTGGAGGAGCAGAGAGGGGCAGCCCCGCGTTACTGGTCCAGCTTCCTGCACCTCGTCTCTACCAGGATGCAGCCTGATGCTTTCTCATCTCATTTTCTGACCATCACCTACTGGTGGACATTTGAGCTGTTTCCAGTCCTATTACAGTGCTGCAATGAATAGCCTGCGTATAGTCTTTTCGTGTCTGTGAAGTTTTCTTTTTCTACCTAGGCATATGGGTGTGTGTGTGCGGGGGTGGGGGTGCAGGCTGAGAGAAAAAAAAAGTGGGTGCAGACATCAGAGAGCTCGAAGGGTGTAACCCTTCTAAAGGGCTCTTGGTAGCTTAGCATTAACCCTACGAGCTGCAGCATATCCCATATCCCAAAGTGAGGGGATGGCGGGAAGGAGAAAGAGAGGGAGGACACAGGACACGCAACAACTCTAGGGGCTCAGGGCGATCTGGGTGCCAGTAAATAGGAGCCGGAAAAAGGGGAAGACCCTCCCCGGGAAGCAGGCGTGGAAGATGGAGATGTGTTTGCTCGTGATGGCGTCGTAGAAGACGACCTCCCCGCGTTCGTGATCCACACGGACGCCAACTCTGCTGGGACAGACGGGAAGCTCCTCTCGGGTGTTGCCATCGAGGAGCGCCTGACACTCCAAGCCGAGACCACGCCCAGCATGCAGGCCCCGCCCCTACCCCTCCGGGCTCCGCCTCCCAGGCCTGGCAGCCGCCGGAGACTCCCGGCAAGCCCAGCACGCAGCGGAACGGGTAGAAGCGCTGTGGGTCGGCGGACTCCTCTGAGTCACCCTGAGGGACGAAGGGGAGCGTCACTGTCTGCAGATCCTGAGAAAGGACGAGGTCCGGGTGGGCTGAGGCTGCGTCCAGGGTCACGGAGGCTGTGTAAGATGGGAGGAAAAAGAGGGGCAGTCTTGGGTCAAGTTGTCTGGCCGCCAACCTCTGAACACCCTCGGGATGCGGCTAGAGGAAGACTTTCTCTCCAGTCACAGCCCTCCTTGTCCCCAAAGAATAAGTCCTAGGCCCCTCCCCCTCCTTCTTGAAATTAATCCCTAAATTTCACCATGGCCTACCCTGTAGGTGCAGAGAGGAGCTCCCCACTGGTGGTGGTGGAGGGGTCATTTCAACATTTAAGGCTGAGACCATCTGCGTATCCTTCCCCGTTTCATGTGGTCTCTGATTCCCTATCTAAAACAAGATTTGAGACTAGTATAAGAGATATTGAAGGAGCCGTGGTGGAGTAATGGTGAAGGGCTCTGTTGCTAACCAGAAAATCAGCAGTTTGAATCCACCAGCGGCTACGTGGGAGAAAAGGCCTGGCGATGTGCTCCTGTGAAGATTTAGGAAACCCTATGGGGCAGTTCTACTCTGTCATATAGGGTCTCCATGAGTGGGAATCCACTGGACGGCACACACCACTACCACAACAGCAAGGGATATTGAGGCTCAGACTTTCTGAGCTCCATTCATTTTCTAAAGTGGTGCTCCTGAAAGACAGACATGGGTGGGTGTTGGAATATAGAAGGAGGAATAGTCAGCCCTCTTCCCTCACACACACACTTTTACTGGGATTTGGACGTTGAAGCACAGTTTACCAGGGTTGAAAGGGCCCCCATCCACCCTCTACAATGGCTTGGATAGTGGTGATTCCAGTCTCTGCTAAAAAATTTAGGAATGGGAAGGGGGCTTATTCTGTCTCCCTATGTATTACCTAATCTCAAACCTTCATATATACCAGTTGCCATGGATTCATTCATTCATTCATGGTGACCCCATGAATGTCAAGAGTAGAACTGTGCTCTATAGGATCTTCAATGGCTAATTTTTCAGAAGCAGATAACTGGCACCTGTGGGTGGATTCAAACCTCCAACCTTTCAGTTGGCAGCCAAGCTTGTTAACCGTTTGCACCCCCAGCCCCCCCCCCAAAAAAAACCCAAACTCGTTGCCATCCAGTCGATTTCGACTCATAGTGGCCCAGAGTAGAACTGCCCCATAGGGTTTCCAAGGAGCAGCTGGTGGATTCAAACTGCCAACTTTTTGGTTAGCAGCCTGAGCTCTTAACTGCTGCACCACCAGGGCTCCTTGCACCACCCAGGGACTCCCAAACCCTCTTACTGCCATGTTAATTAATTTTCCCTTGCTGGCCTCGGGGGATTGGGAGAGATGGAGTATATGGAAATGTGGGGCAGAAGACAGTGGTTAGGTTCATGGGATGGGTTAGGCGGATTGTGATTCAGGCAGGCCTTACTCATTTCTAGTCCCCTACACCTGGCTGAACTGCTGCCTCAGTAAATAGTTGTTTAAAAAAGAAAAGAAGAGAAAAAGAAAAATGGAACGGAGAAGAGACAGCAGTAGGGACTTTCTTTATCCACCAGGGGGCAACCCAATCAAAGCAATAAGAAGAAACCAAGCTTGGGGCAAGGTTGTCTTTTCCCTTCTTTTAATCAAGGACACCCCCATTCCTTCTCCAAGTCTTCATCCCCCCTTATCTCCACTCTCCCCCGTGCTCAGTCCCTTGCCCGACTCCGCTCAAGTAGTGACCCCTGACCACTCTCAGCCACTCACTCGGGGCCACCTTGAGCTCTTCCCTCCATGCAGAGCAAATGCTTCCTAGGTTCTCAGAACTGGCTGGGCTTTGAGGAACCCCAGCAAAAGACATCCTGTTTCGGGGCTGGAGCAATGCTAGAGAGGGTGCTTTCCAAACACAGGAGGCCCGGGAGAGAAGACTGAATACAGTTGAGGGGCGGGGATGTGTTGATGCTGGTTCAGTTGTTCCGCTGCCTTTGAGGGAGAAGAAAAGAGAGGTCAGTGGGAGCAAGGTGGAAATAATCCTCCACTGACAAGAAAGCACTGCTGAACTCTAGATACAGCAGGAGGGATAAAGGTAAGACTCAAAGTGCACCTGAACAAGCTGGGGGTAAATAGATTAGGGGTGTAAGATTTCCTGGAGGGGGTGTAATTTAGGAAGGCGTAAAGGAGATGGATGAGATGCTTACTCCCCCCCACTTTCTGGCATTTGAAGTCTTCAAGAGCTGCAGATTCCATAGCTTCATGGCCCTCTACCAACCTCCAGTCCTTCTTATAAACTCTCTAAATCCCTCTCCCTGCTCTTCACTACTCCTTTCCATCTCAGGCTGGAATGGAAAGAAAGCATCTTGCCTAACTCTGATCAGAGAGGATGATCTTCCATGTTAGGAAGTTCTTTCTGTAATCTAGCCTGCACCCTTCCCCTGCAGTGTCAGTTCTGTGCGTTCCCATTCTGTGCTTTGGGTGGATAGAGCACAGGGGAAAGCCATTTCTTCTACGTTGTGACCATCTGTCCACCTGGAGGTCCCTTCTCTATACCACAGGAAGCCTCAGTGTCAGGAGGCAGAACTCCTACCTGGAGAGCTTGACTTGGGCTTTGAGGTTTTGTTCAGTTTAGAATTATTATTCTCTAACAGGCTCCCTGGGAGTTGGGGAAAGAAAACCAATTTTGGTCATGATAACGAGAAGCTGCAAATGAAAAACCAAAATAAACACCTTGCCACCACCAACAAAAACAAGAATTACTGGTTCTCGATGGGGACCGTCCCCTACCCATGGGGAAGTGTGGAAATGTTTTAGGTTGTCTTGGTGACAGCAGGAAGGGTGTCCTCTATTGGCCTTCAGTGCCTTCCAGGAGGGCCTGGGATGTTCAACATTCAACAGAGCCCAAATCATGGAGCACAACAAAAACTTGTCCGCCTCCAAAATGCACAACCTCCCCTTGTGGAGAAACACTGGTGGAAGAGAATCCCTAAACACTCTCTGGCTTTGGAATGCATTATGTAGTTTCTTCTGGCTTTGGAGAAATGAGTTCTAAATCTGTTTTTTCCATTCAATAGTCACGTGACCTGGGTAACTTCTCTCACCTTTCTGGAGTTAGAGGGGCCTCTCACTTGTATATTGCAGGTAATAACACCTACCTTGGAAGAGTTGTGGAGTTTTGAAATATTGGATGTAGGGTGCTGAGCACATAGCTGACCTTTAAGAAATGGTTCTTCTAGTGCTGCCATCTCAGGTGGCAGAACTGGCTCTCATGACTTTGGCATAGGCTGTTATTACAGTGGGCCTCCACCCCTTGAGCTGCTCTGACCTCACACCCAGAGGGTGTGCCCAGAAACCAGGTATGTGGCTGAGAGCAGCTAATACTTCAGAAATTGAGCTGCATCTGCCTCCTCCTTGTCCCACCTTTACCTCCCTTTCTCTGAGGGGGTGAAGAAATAAAATTTTTATTACTTTTGAATACTTAAAAAACTGGGACTTAGATGCTGTTTTGTGATTTGTTGTTGTTAGTTGCCGTCAGGTAGATTCTGACTCATGGAAACCCCATGTGTGCAGAGTAGAACTGCTCAATAGGGTTTTCAAGGCTGTGACCTTTCACAAGCAGATTGCCAGGTCTGTCTTCCAAGGTACCTTTGGGTGGGTTTGAACATCAACCATTTGGCTGGTAGTTGAGCACTTAACCATTTCTACCACCCAGAAACTCCTTTTTGTGAGTTACTGGAGTTTAAAATAATCAAACTTATATCCATGTGCCTGTTTGTCTTAATTGCCTGAGGAATAGGCATTTGCCCATATCTGGGCTGCATGTAATCACAGAGACAAAATTCTTCCCTTTGCTGTTCTCACTTTCCCCAATGACAGGAGCAACTGTCAGTCCCCACTTACAGCTCTACGTCAAGTCCCCATTCATGCCTCTGAAAAATCTGCTTTTACATTTCTTCCCGTCAGCCTGGAGGTTTTCTGTAAGGAGAGAATGGAATGAGATGGAGAAACTCCCTGAATTCGGACTCCCAGCCTTCTCAACTGCGAAAATACATTTCTGTTCTTTAAAGCCATCCACTTGTAGTATTTCTGTTACAGCAGTGCTAAGAAACTAATATAGAATTCCTTACCTACTGAACCTTTTCTTAGTTGCAAACCCAGACAAGTCCTTGAGAAATATCTGACAAAAATTGAGAGCCCAAGTCATCCACTTCTGTTCTGGCTGATTGCTATTTCCCTGCAATGCCAAAGAGGAATTTCCCCCAGATTTCGTTGACTTTGAATCTACTTTCTCTTCGTCTGTAGTCAGGAAGAGACAGAGCTCCAGTGTGTACCAGGGAAGCAAAAGCCGGAGGTCCCAGCCTGAGGCGGGAGGGCAGGGCCCTGCTCCAGTCTGGTCTACCGTACAGCCATACAACCAAGCACAGCTTCCTGACATCCACCGTGCTAGGCTGGGGGTGGGGTGGGGTGGGGATGGTCACCATGAGACATCAGTCCAGGCTCCCCTCTGTGGCTCTCACAGGAGTCAGGGAGGTGGACAAGTAAAATATGATTAAGATAAATCCTGAAAGGAAGCATGGCGACGAATGGAACTTGCTGAACAGAGAGTCTGGCTTTTCTGAAAAGATCACGGCCATGAAGATCCTATGGAGTACAGTTCTATTCTGATAATGGGGTTGCCATGAGTCAAAACCAACTCCACAGCAAATGGTATATATGAAGGTTGATATTAGATAATAAATCAAAAGATAGAATGCGGACCCCCTTTCTAAGTGTTTTAACAGAAACTGGAATCACCACTACCCAAGCTGTTGTAGAGGGTAGATGGGGAAATTTCTAATCCTGATAGACTATGATTCAACCTCCAAATCCCAGTAGAAGTGTTGGAATCAGCTCAATGGCAATGGGATGATTATTATTTGGAGTCCCTAAGTGTGTAAACGGTTAACACGCTCAGCTGCTAACCAAAAGATTGGAGGTTCGAGTCCACCCAGAGGTGACTCAGAAGAAATCATTAAAAACCCTATGGAGCACAGTTCTACTCTGCTGACACACATGGGGTTGGCATAAGTCAGAATACTCTACAGTAGCTGGATTTTTTTTTTTTTAAATAATTATTACTTGGATGTATAAGATACAGTTCAGCTTACCTGGGGTGATAGGGAGAGAATCCCCTAGAGGTAGGTGACAGACTAGGTAAAAGCTTTTTCCTTACCTCTGAATTCTTCAGGGTTTCTGTGATGGAGTCATTTCTTGATTTGGCTTCACTGAGTTTATTCTCCAGGTCCAGAGGAAGAGCAGTTGGGTGAAGAAATTGAAACCTTTGGCTCCTGAGAAGATAGGGCTGAGCTGTGTGGTGAGATCAGGGAAGGGGGTACTGGGGAGGGAGGACTATGACAAGGAGATGCGGATGTGGGAATGGAGATCAGGGGGTGGGGGTAGGACTGGGAACTGGGAGTGGGGAGGCCAGGGCAAGGGACCTGGGGCCAGGGATGAGGTGCGGCATAAGGAGATGGAGCGTTCAGGGTGATGGAGTAGGACACCCAGAAGCCATCCATTTGAGCAAAGAGGCATGCAGAAGGTGCCAGAAAATAGGAGAATCTATGCTGAAGAACCAGGAAGCTGAAGACAGCAGCTCTTCTCACAACCAACCCACTTGCTTAGGCCTTTCCTCGTAGCCTAAGTATTTGGTCGCAAAGTTAGACAGAGCATGTGGGCATTTGTGAGGCAGGAGTGTTGATTATGTTTGAGTATTATATGAGTACATGTTAGGTATTCTAAATATGAATGAATCAGCATGTAAAAGGCATTTTGGATGGCCCATCATACCTGTACAAGAGAACTTTGATGTCCTAGAAGAGAAACAGAAACAGAAACAGCACAGCCTCAGCTTTTGGCCTGTTCATGCTGGCCAAAGAGTAAAGATCTTCTTTGCTATGGGACAGAGCAAATGAAAGAGAGAAGCTCTCTCTCTCTCTTCCCATCCGCCATGAAGGGCTCCTCCAAGATATGCCAGTGGGCAGGGAAATGTCTAGGCTTCAAGAGGAACTGAGTAGAGAGGAAGGGAAGAGGACCAAGATTTTTGAAGATGAATTTTGTCTCTGAGACTAAACCAGGGGAGCCCTGCTTGCAGGGGGTGGGGGAAAAGCAGAGGACTGGAATGGCTTTGCATGGTCTTTCTTGAAAGAAAGAAATGGCTTCTTGCACTGGTGGGAGTGGGAGGTGAATTCAGGAGAGATCTCTGCTTATTTTGAGCATTGACTAGATCCATGCTGTCCAATATGGTAGCCAGGCCACATGTGGCTACTGAGTTAACTTGAAATGTAGCTAGTGTTGTGAGGAACTGAATTTTTTAATTTATTGAATTTTCACAAATTTAAATTTAAAAACTGAAGGAATATAAATACTTTTTCCGTCAAACGCAACTTTATTGATTTGGTAGGACTACATTTTACTTCAATGATGGAAAATTCAGCAACTGAATTGAGATGGTGCTGAGGTGTAAAATGTATGCCAGATTTCAAAACTCAGTATAGAAAATGCAAAATATCTCATTGATACTTTTAAGTAATGTTACAGATTTAAATTATAATACTTTGGACATAGTGGGCTATATAAAATATACTATTAAAATTAATTTCACCTGTTTATTTTTATCTTTTTTTAATGTGGCTATTAGAAAAAATGTTTAACTACATATGCAGCTTGCAATATATTTCTAAATTACATATGTGGCTAGCATTGTATTTGTATCTGACAGTGCTGTGCTAGAGGTAGAATGATTGGGATGATCTCAGTATTACTAGTTGAAAGATTGGCAGTTCAAACCCACCCAGAGGTGCCTTGGGAGACAAGTCTGGTGATCTGCTTCCAAAAGGTCACAGCCTTAAAAACCCTGTGGAGCACAGTTCTACTCTACACATATGGGGTCGCCATGAGTCAGAATCGACTTGACAGCAACTAACAACAACAATAAACAGTATTCTGCCAGGTGGTCGTGTTCTGATCTGTGACTAAGGACGGGCTGGTCCCTCTCTGCAGCTCTGCCCCCAAGGGACTCTCAGCCAGAGCAGCTCAGCTGGCGACATTTGTTGCTTGGCCTTCAAGGAATCAACAAGCCTACTGAGAGAGTTCAGCTGCGCCTCAGTGGAAGTGCCGAAGAGGTGGCCCCCCTTCTCTCCCTCCTGACCCAGCCAGGCCAGTAGTAACAGGAGAAACTTCTCCTTCTCTTTTAGGACCTGACACAGGTGCTTGAATTCTCTGATGATCCTTTGTTTTTCGTGTTCCACTTGGCCTGGGGGCAAGAAGAATGGACACTCAGAAGATGAGAGGATGGCCTCAGAGGCCCTCACTCATTTCATCCAAGTTTGTAATTTTATTGTTTACACTTATATTAATTGTCAGTGTAGGACAGTGTTCTGTGGCAGATTTGGAAAAGAAAAGTTGAGGAGAACTAACTTATTTTAGCATTTACTATGAGCTCAGTTTTAGGCTAACTTGTTTATGTTTAATCATTTTTGCCTTCAGGACCTGAGTCTCTAATACTATCTTGAATTTTCTTAAGGCTTTTCAATTTATAATCTCCTTTCACAAAGATTTTTTCCTTCACACACACACACACACACACACACACACACACACAACAGGTAAAGAGTCTGGGTGGAATAACATTGTCTTCATTTTCTAACTAGGGAGTCAGTCTCTGGTTAAAGATAGTACGTAAGGGGCAGAAGTGGGTCTTAAAATCAGTATTTCTGGTGCTAAGACCAGCCCCTGTTTTCCCTACATCACTATCTCCAGGTGGAGGAGACTGGTGTGTTCAGCCTACTGTAATAACACAAAGCCAGATGCGAAGGTGCTGTCGCAGACAAGCCAAATGCTGTGGTGAAGGAGAAGGCGTGAACACATCCTAACCCATGATGCCACAAGCCTTCTGTCCCTCCAGCCTGCCCCATCCTAAACTCTGCCCTACTCTGAGCCACTTTCTTTGTCGCTGGATCTTTTTCTGAGTAGTCAGTGTAATAAGAGATTCTCGGGGCTTTAGAAGATGTTTCTGTTTCCAAGGACCATGGGACAAGGAGACCCACACCTGGACGTTTTCTGATCATGAAGACATTGATCCTCTGTTCGCCTTGTGCTTTCACTTATACTATCGTCTTCTCCTTTTGCTGCAAGTCCTTGAGTTGCAATTGAATTATATTCCCTGTGGGGAGAAGACCGTTTTTGTAAGCTGTGCCTGGGAGTTCTCTTGGCCTCAGAAAACCCCTTATCTCTCAAGAGGGTGAGTGAGACTGGGGGGAGCTGGGGGCTGGTCCTGATGGGGAAAGAGAAATCTCAATAATCTACAGGAGAAGAATGTGTCATCTGTGAATAATTAAGATTAATATTTGAATGGTGCTTTGGGGGTTAATAAAGGATTTCCACAGACTTTCCCTTGTTTGTCCTATCAGACTGCCTTACAGAGGTAAGTTCTATTCTCTTCTCTTCGCACTATTTGAAAGGTGGGACAACTGAGGCTCAGAGAGGTAAAGTGACTCCTTGAATGTCTCACAGAAAACTGAGGAGCTTAGACTTGAGCCCAAACCTTCTGATTCTAAATTCCATGCCTTTTCCATTTTCTGTTATACTTTAACTTCAAAAGACTTCAGACTTTTGAACTAAATGATATGCCATAGATGATGAGACACCCTAGAGTGCCTACCCTGCCTGACTCTGAACTGCCCACTCAAGTATAAGGGACAGGGGCCACAGTGGTGCAATCCCAGAGGAAGGTGGTAACCATTCCTATGCCCTCGCTGAACTCCTGGTCTGATGGGTGAGACAGGGAAGGGACCCCAAATGTTTACCTGATAGTTTTGGGCAGCTTCTTCTATTAAGTTGGCTTTGTGGAGTTTGCGGTCCTTGGATTCACGACGCACTGTACAGAGAAACTTCCCATCATGCTCACAGAAGTAATGGATCTTCTCTTGGTGCTTCTGACATCTCAGTTCTTCCCTTTCTGGCTGTGCCTCAAAGGGACTCATAGCTTGGATTTTCTCTACCAGATTCATCAATAGCCAATTGGGCCTCACAGTGTCCCTCCTCACAGATTTCTTGCAAAGTGGACATTTGAGTAAACTGATGCATCCCCGTTCTGAGTGATGCATCTGAAGCAGAAATTTTGCCCGTAGTCAATGGTGACAGGGTCCTGCAGAATATCTATGCAGATGGGGCAGACCACTTCTTCCTGCAACTTACTGACAAACTGTGGACTGGCCATGATGGAGCAGGAGGGCTGCTTCTAGTCTGTAGGAAGTTGTATCAGGTCTGCAGGAAGGTTTCTATGAGCAGTGGGGAGATGGGTTATGGACACTGGTTTGAGCAAAGGAGAAGGAAGCAGAGGAGGAGGAGGTCAACGAGTCTACGTATTAGTTGGAGGAGCAGGAACTGGGGGAAAAGAGGGATTAAAAAGTAAGTACTTAAAAAAGAATAAGGATTAGAATGTAGAGAATATTTTAAAGAGAGAGAACAGATGGGCAAACCTACTTTACTACTTCTTGAGAACAAATGGATATTGTGGATGAATATATGCTGCTTATCAAGTTTTTTTCTGAACCTTGAACTAATTAAAGATACGTATATAAGACAGTCAGCTGAGGTCTAAAAGACCAGCCCACCAAAGTCCACGGGTCAGAGGACTTCCCGCCAGGATCAGCAGGGAGTGTAGGGACTGGGCGAGGCCTCTGGAGGTCACATATGTTGGGACCGTTGAGCTGGTTCATTAGCCATGGCTTTGGACATCTCTTGTCTGCAGAGCCCAGACCTTGGGAGAGCACATGGAAAGGAAAAACCAGTTGCTGTAGAATGGATTCCGGCTCATGGTAATCCCATGTGTGTCAGACTAGAACTGTGCCCCCGCAGGGTTTTCAATGGCTGATTTTTGGAAGTAGATCACCAGGCCTTTCTTCTGAGGCATCTCTGGGTGGACTCGAACCACCAACCTTTTTGTTAACAGCTAAATGTGTTAGCCATTTGCACCACCTAGGGACTCCTTATGGAAAGGAGGAAAGGATTAATTCTTTACCTCAGGTACTTTGGCTCCTCACTTCACAGAGTTTTCTGAAAATAGGGGAGATATCCACCTCAAGTGGATATCCAGTCACAAGAAAGAAGCAACCATCCCTCTCATGGGGAGATTTGTGGTCCAATGGGAGAAACAAGAAACTTTCTTATTGCAAGGCTATTCTCTTGATTTGTGGATTGTTCTTGACCCTAATGGATATTTACTTCCCTGTAGCACCTGAACCAGTCTGTCCTTTGTTGTTGTTTCCTGTATGTCTTAAATATGCTGGTGTCTCCATGCCCATGGTTTGTTTTTGCTAGAAAAGGATATTATGTTTGGTAAACACAACAATGGACTCAAACCTATCAAAGATCATGGAGACGGCATAGGACCCGGGAACATTTCATTCTGTTATATTTAAAGTTGTCATGAGTTGGAGCTGACTCTATAGCATCTAACAACAATAACAACATTCTTTGTGTAATATATCTATGTTTCTTCTTGTTTGTTGCTTCTCTGATCCCTGAATTGCTTTAACCTATGGCTTCTGTCCTGACTAGGAAATTTATTAACCAACATCACCTTTACTCCCTTCTGTAACTCAACACGATTTTGTCCTCACCTTTCCACCTTGCCACCTGTCTTCCTCCGCATCCTTACTTCCAACCAACCTCCCCTCTCTACAGCATCTGCCCTCTGTCCTCACCAAGAAGTAACTGTTAATTTCATCTGATATTAGTCTTTGGTCAAACAGGGTTTGCGGATGATTGTATGATTATAGCCAGATACATTCTGATTTGCCTAGGACAGCCCCTGGTTTCAACTTTGTCCTGAAGTAATTATTAATACCTCCTCCATTCATTCTCAAAATGTCCAGTTTACACAACAAATTATATGGTTACCCTAATTACAGCAACTGATGAAAGCCAAAGACTTTCAGAAAGGCTATACTTCCGGGCTTTTCTGTTTGTTTGCTTTGGGGATGAATTAAAGCATCTTAACATTTGTATAATGATTCACTGTTTATACTCATCCTAAGCTGCTGGCCCCTGGAGGCAGAATTTAACTTTTGGACAGGTTTTGTTTGGCTAGCATGGCGATTGAAAAAATAACCATAATTTAGAGAGGGGGTCTATTTTCTCCACCACTCCCCAGCTCCTTAGCTCACGTCTGCTAGGCCCAGGACGGCATTGGACCTTATGACCCTTATTTACATATTTCTTCTGCATGTATTGTAAGTGCATAAAATTGCAAATATAATTCTCACCTGTAAGTCTAATGTATCAGTAATCATACATTAAATATATTAAGACAGCCTTTAAAAGACAGAGATTATCAGATTATAGATAGATAGCTCATATATTTACATATATATATACATATATACCAAAACCCATTGCAATTCAGGGATCAGAGAACTGCCCCATAGAGTCTCCAAAGAACAGCTGGTGAATTCAAACTGCCAATCTTTTGGTTAGCAGCTGAACGATTAATCACTGTGCCACCAGGGCTCCATAATGTATGTATGTAACCATAATTCAAAGGTATCAATTCTTCTTCTGTCTTCCTTATTTATTGTCCAGCTTTCCCATGCATATGAGGCGATAGAAAATACCATGGCTTGCGTCAGTCACACCTTAGTCCTCAAAGTGCCATCTTTGTTTTTTACAACTTTAAAGAGGTCTTTTGCAGCATATATATCTTTCTAAAATTTAGCTGTATGCTGATTATAAGAAACAAAGTTAAAACGAAGCAGGAAGGCTAGAAATAAAGGTATGGTAAAAGACAAAGGAAAACATTAACTCATATCTGGCATAACAACAGGAATGTCAGACAAAATAAAATTTAGGATAAAAAGCATGAAATAAAGAGGGGCAGTGAGTTTATGTTAATGGGAGAGGAACAACTCAGAAAAGGAGGATGAGAATGGTTGCACAACTCGATGAATGTGATCAATGCCGCTGTTGCACGTGTAGAAATTGTTGAATTACTGTATGTTCTGCTGTATATATTCTCAACAAAAACAGCAAAAATAAAATAATTAAATAAATAAAGAGGAACACTCCATAACGTCAAAAAGGACAAATCTTCAAGAAGATATAACAATCACGAACTTTAGGCACCTCCCTAAAAACATAGCCTCAAAATACATGAAGTAAAAGCCAAGAGAAATACAAGTGAAATGGACAAATCCACAGTAAGGAGAGATTTTTTATCACCTCCCTTAGAAATTGAAAGATGACGCAGATACAGAATTTTCAAGGATAGAGAAAATTTGAGCAACATAACTAACTTGATCAGATATTTTTATATAGGATTTTACACGCAACAAAAAGATAATATGTGTTGTTTTCAAGCATGCATGGATCCCTCATAGAACTGACCACATGCTAGGACATAAAGGAAGTCTCAGCAAAATATAAAGTATTTCTATTATGCAGATCATATTCTCTAAATATAATTTAAATAAAAATGAGCAAAAACATAGAAAAGATAGTTAAAACAAAAACTCAAACTCGTATGTTTGCAAACTAAACTATAAGTTCTTAAATAACACATGGTTTAAAGTGGAAATCATGATGGAAATTATGAAATATTCAGTAGTGAGTGACAAGGGCAAGACTCTATATCACAGTTTGTGGGATTAATTAAGGTGGTACTGGGAGGGACATTTATAGGTTAATGTGAAATTTCTAAAAAAAAATAAAATGCTAAATACAAATAGTTTAAAATAAGGAACTAGAAAAATAAAAAAGTAACCTCGAAGGAAATAAAAAGCAGTTATTTAAAATTTTTTTTTTAAAAATAGATGATCAATAAAACCAAAACTTTGTTCTTTGAAAATATTAATACTAATTACTAATACTAATAATCTGAGCATTAACTTTAGCAAGACTGGTCAAGAAAAAAGAGAAGACACAAATAAAGTATATTAGGATTAAAAACGGCAAAATATCTATTCACAGTGTATGTAAAAAGTGTTGAGAAGACACAATAAACAACTTTATACCAATTAATTTGAAAATATATATAAAAGGGAAATGTCAAAAGACAGGAAAAAATCAAACGTAAAACAAGACCTAAATAAATTTTTAAAATATGCCATGTCAATGGAAAGGAAAATCAATGTAGTAAATACAGTAATTCCTATCCATTCATAAATCCTATGTAGTTCCAATTAGAATCCAATTAAGATTATTTATGTGTGTGTGTGTGTTGTGTATGTTAAAGTTGATAGATTGATTCTAAAATTCATATAAAAGGGGAAATTTACCAAAATAGCCAAGACAATTATAAAAAGAAAGCAAGGGGATAGGGATTGTCCTGCCAGCTAGCAGGACTTATTTTAAAGCTATAATAACTAAGACAGTGTGATATTGTCACAAAAAGAGACAAATGGATCAATGGAACTGAATAGAAAGCCCAGAGCTGATGGATTCTTACATCTAACTTGGTTGGTGATGGAAGAAGCATCATCACAATCAGTGGAGAAAGGGTGAAGTAGTCAATACAGGGTGCCTGGTCAAATGACTTTCTTACTGGAGGTCGGTATTTGATCCGTATCTCACAACAAATATAAAAATAATTGCAGAGGATTTAAAGACCTAAATTTCACTAAGACAAAAAAAAAGACATAATGGAAGTAGATAACTTGATATCTATCTAGCCATCAAAGAAAGGATCAAACCCCAGAATATATAATGAACTCCTATAAACTGATAAGTAAAATCAAGTAACCTATAAATTAATCTATAAAAATACCTAGCAAGATATTTTTAAGAACTAGAAAGGCAGATTTTCAAGATCATAGGGAAAAATAAATAATAAGTAAGATTCTCCATATCCTCATATCTTATACCAGGATAAATTCCAAACATATCAAATATTTAAGAGTAAAAAAACGAAAACATACAAGCACTAGGAGAAACCATGGGAGAATTATTTTATAACTTCAGTGTGGAAAAAATCATTATAAATATGATACCAAAATCCAGAAACCATAAAATATTGATACATTTAGCTACTAAAATAGTTTCCATGTGATAGAAACAACAAAAGCAAGTTCAAAAGACAAATAGCAAACTGGTAAACACATTAGTAATTTATATCACAGATGATTCACAGAGCAGGGGCTAATTTCTTCAAAATGTAAAAGAACTGCTACAAATCAGTAAGATCAACAATCTTGTAGAAAAATGGTGAAAATATATGAATAG